CTTCCCAAAGGAAGGAAAATAAAAGCTGGTGTGATTAAGAAAAAAAGCAGGTTAACATTCTGAACTGAGAGACCGGGGCAGCTCCTCTCATATGTCCTTTGTCCCTCAAATTAAATTTAACTACAATTTCTCACATCAGCTTATAGCAGGCTTTAAAATATCAGTCTCAAATCACACAGCCTCTCTGCATGTGAGCCTCCAGTTATTTCAGCAGGTATATTTCCAACACTCCCAAATCCTTGTCCTAGGAGGACAGGGAAATCTTTGAGGTATAACAGTCAAAAGTGGTTAAGGCCTCCCTGTCACCCTGCATTCCCCATGGCCAATCCCACCCAACCTGCATATCTTTGGACTGTGGAGGAAACCCATGCAGACACAGGGAGAACGTGCAAACTCCACACAGAGAGTCACCTGAGGGTGGAATTGAACCTGGGTCTCTGGTGTTGTGAGGCAGCAGTGCTAACCACTGAGCCATCATATCAAATTATTCAAGAGAATGAGCTCCAATCATGTTTATTGGTTTTGAAGGTTCCATCCTGGTTCGGGGACCTCCTGATAAGTTCCTGACAAGACCCACAAAAAAATTCTTACATCATGCTGTCTCCCTGTGATTGAAATGGACTTTAACATGACAGCGCCGTTACACTCCCCACACCCACAAACACTAGTGTTGTGGGATTCCGTCTCTCTCATGTCCCCCTAGCAACAGCCTCTGGCCACATCCACTTTCACCTGCTCACCAATCTCAAGTCTATAGCAGGGCTTCCCAAAGTCTGGATCGAAACCCCAAGTGGGGTCATGGGTCAAGGTTTCGGGGAATCACAATCTCTGAGGCATCAAGTGATCACCAGGAGATCTGACCGAGTTATAACAATCATACACCTGTACTGAGATAGTAGGAACTGCAGATGCTGGAGAATCTGAGATAATGAGGTGTAGAGCTGGATGAACACAGCAGGCCAAGCAGCATCAGAGGAGCAGGAAAGCTGACGTTTCGGACCTAGACCCTTCTTCAGAAATGACCCTTCTTCAGAAATGACCCTTCTTCTCATCCACCTGTACTAACCAGTCCCCCACTTTCACAGCGTCTCCCCCCTCAACTCACTCCGATCTCACAGTTCTCACTGAGTGGGGGAGGGGGCTTGCAACAATTTTAAAGCCTCGAAATGGGGTCAAAGGTGAAAGGGTTTGGGAGGTACTTCAGGATTGGATAGAATCCAACCTCACACCAAACATTCTGAACTCCAGAACCACTGATCCATTTCCCCATCACACAGACTCCTGAATTAGGATTATTATTTGATTGCCAGCTTTTGTTCCACACTCTAGAGAAGGAGGCCTCTTAGGCCTGAAGCCTAAAATTTATTTGTGCTTTGCAATTTCCACAGTCACAATTAAACTTTGACTGACCCAGAGGCTTTGTTAATTTAACCGCATTGATATTTAATTGCTGTAATGTTGGAGGTCAATCATCTCAGTTCCAGGACATCTCTGCAGGAGTTCCTCCGGGTAGTGTCCTTGGCCCAACCAACTTCTGCTGCTTCATCAATGACCTTCCCTCCATCATAAGGTCAGAAGTGGGGATGTTTGCCGATGATTGCACAACATTTAGCACCATTCGTGACTCCTCAGCTACCGAAGCAGACCATGTTCAAATGCAACAAGATCTGGACAATATCTAGGCTTGGGCTGACAAGTGGTAAGTGACATTCACATTATAGGCAATGACCATCTTCAACAAGAAAAAAATTTAACCACTGCCCAATGATAGTCAATGACATCACCATCACTGAATACCCCACTATGTAATCCTAGGGGTTACCGTTGACCAGAAACGGAACTGGACTAGCTGTATAAATACAGCGACCACATGAGCATGTCATAGTTTGGGAATCCTGCAGTGTACAGCTCACCTCCTGATCTCAAAGCCTGTACACCATCTACAAGGCACAAGTCAGGAGTGTGATGGAATACTCCCCACTTGCCTGGATGGGTGCAGCCCCAACAACACTCAAGAAGCTTGATACCATCCAGGACAAAGCAGCCCACTTGACTGGCACCACATCCACAAGCATCCACTCCCTCCACCACCGACTCTCAGTAGCAGCAGTGTGTACTATCTACAAGATGCACGGCAGAAATTCACCAAAGATCCTCAGACAGCACCTTCCAAACCATGAACAAAAACAAAGTTGCTGGAGAAGCTCAGCAGGTCTGGCAGCATATGTGAAGGAGAAAACAGAGTTAACGTTTCGGGTCCGGTGACCCATCCTCAGAACTGATGGTGGCTGGGAAAATGTCAGTTTATATGCAGAAAATAGGGAGGTGGGTGGGGTAGCTCAGTGGTTAGATTGTTGTCTCACAGCACTGGGGACCTGGGTTCAATTCCAACCTCAGGTGACTGTCTGTGTGGAGCTTGCCTGTTCTCCTTGTATCTGTGTGGGTTTCCTCCCACAGTCCCAAGATGTGCAGGCTTGGTAGATTGGCCATGGGAAATGCAGGATTACAGGGATAGGGTTGGGGAATGGGTCTGGGTCTGGGTAGGATGCTCTTTGGAGGATTAGTGTGAACCTGAATAGCTTGCTTCCAGACTGTGTTCTGTTTGGATAAATGCAATCAAAGGAGTAGGTTTTGAACAGCATCTAGACTAGGAGAGAGAAATAAAGATTTAGTTTGAGAGTTTAGGCTATAGACCGTTAGGGTACAAAAAAAGCTTCGGGTCATCGGGCTGTATCCAATTTAATTTCCAAGGCCATTTGCCCTACTCTACCTGCAATATCCCCACTTGCACTGCAGGTGGGAGTGCTCACCACAAATTCTGCTTCACAGACACTTAGAGAATGACCACAGCACACCCAGATTGTGTTTTCGAGCTGTAACAGCAATCTTTCAAACCACTTCCTTCAATTTCCTGCCACTTTGATTCCAAGTCAGTGAGTCATAGCAGCAAATAAAGAACTGCAGGCTTTCATCTAAAACTGGGAATGAGAAGTCAAAACTGCTTTAGATAAATGTAAAAAAAATCTTACCATGGCAGGGTTCTGAAGAGCAGACAAAATATTACTGCTATCCAAGGCAATAGCTACCCCTCAATCAACATTACAAAAACAATAAGATCTGCTCAGTATTCACCCAGAAGGGCTGGAGGACTGGTGGAATTCTCTACTGAAGGCTGTTGAGGCTGAGTCACTGAAAATATTAAAGAAACATGTGTAGGAGCTAAAGGCGTTGAGGGGTCTGGGAGAGATCTGGGGCGTGCTTTAAAGTTAGCCATGATCATGTTGAAAAGGCCTATGGTCTGCCCCTGTTCGTATTTTCTATGTTTCTATGATCATATTGTGGAACACATACATATTTTAAAACATGGTGATGGAATACAGATGTTAGTCTGTGATGCTGACCCGGGCAGCAGCTGACACTGTCTCGATCCCACTCCCACTGCCTGTTTCTGGTGCCACAACTGTCAATACCAAACAAGTTGGCCGTAGCTTTATTCCACCATAACCCTGAAGCTGTCCAATGCTCTCAGATCTCTGTGCTGCCTTATTTCTACAGTGGGTCCACATGCCCCAACATTGATGGTGCTACCTCCAGCTGCCTGGGCTCTGGCTGTTCATCCCTAAATATTTGCCCCCCTTTCCTTCATTATGTCACTCCTTAACATCCAAGATGACGGTGGAGAAGGACTCCACAGCTGGAGCTCATCTGCACCACGTGTTTATTTTCTCTTCTTTTCTCTTTTCGCATTTTTTTCTTTCTTTCGTCTTACCTCCAGACCTCGTGTCAAGCAAAGTTATTGCAGACTCCCAGCCTCAGCGCGGACTCCCAGCCTCAGCACGGACTCCCAGCCTCAGCGTGGACTCCCAGCCCTAGCGCGGACTCTGTGCCTCAGTGCAGACTCCCAGCCTCAGCGCAGACTCCCAGCCTCAGCGGGGACTCCCAGCCTCAGCATAGACTCCCAGCCTCAGCACAGACTCCCAGCCTCAGCGCGGGCTCCCAGCCTCAGCGCAGACTCCCAGCCTCAGCACAGACTCCCAGCCTCAGCGCGGACACCCAGCCTCAGCACAGACTCCCAGCCTCAGCACGGACTCCCAGCCTCAGCGCGGACGCCCAGCCTCAGCAGAGACTCCCAGCCTCAGCGCAGACTCCCAGCCTCAGTGCAGACTCCCAGCCTCAGCGCGGACGCCCAGCCTCAGCACAGACTCCCAGCCTCAGTGCAGACCCCCAGCCTCAGCGTGGACTCCTGGCCTTGAGAGCCCTGAGTCGAAGCCCAGCGCGGATTGAGTTGGAAGGACTGATGTTCTGAAGTTTTTATTTCATTGTTTTTCTGATGTATACCTAAGAATTTTGTACTTAAGAGTCTGTACCTAGGTACCTTGGTACCTAAGCTGGCGCTGTAAGTGGCGACTTGTAAACTTTTCCCTGACTTCATGCCAGTACATATGACAATAAAGCTCATTCTACATCGTGTCTTAGTATTATCAGTGCTTGTAAAAACAGGTTATTCGGTCATGACCACACATGCTGCTTATGGGAGCTTGCGGTACATAAATTGGACATCACGCTTCCCTGCGTTAACACAGCGACAATACTTCCACATTATTTCATTTGTGTAAATAATAACCTCATTCGTCTTGAGGTTGGGAAAGACACTACTGAAGTTGAATTCTTACTTCTCCCTATCTTTGTTTCAATGGGGAGGAGACCCCCTCTCAGTTACTGGTTTCAGTGAAGTTCCCTTTAAGAGATGCCTTTAAGAAAGCTCAGAGAAGCCTGACTTCCTGCTCTGCCTGAATAGGCAAGGGGCCAATAAATAATGTGTGTGGAGAGAGCTGCATGCTTGATTCATTCTAAAGAATATCCAGCCGGAATTTCTCATGCTCTCTGGGTCTGCGTGACCTGCCACGTTTGGCATGTGTCTCCGCCCCTGTGTGCAGGCGCTGTAGAAATCTTAGACCAGTGCTGCAGACCCTTCTGTGTCTGCCCACATATCACTGTTTAGATTTCTCAGGAGGTGAAACTCTTTAGCAGTACTACTTGACATCTGCACACAGTCTTCATTGACATTTCCGCTGGCAACAAGATGGGTTGTTAAATCCCGCCATAAAAGATTTTTGTTTGCCCTCCCAGATGTGTGACAGTGAAAGAGAATCCAGGAACCAAGTAATAAATGCTGCCAGGGCTGTCGGACTTTAGGGAAATCCAGGCAAGCTTCAGGTTGCTGCTCGATGTGGGCATTGCAACATGGCACTGGTGCCTACTAATGTGCAGGTGCCCAGGGAGAAGCTGATGTGTGCCATCTGTTTGGATGTGTTCAAAAGCCCGGTCACCATTCCATGTGGCCACAATTTTTGCCTGGAATGCATTGGGCGGTTCTGGGATGAGCAGTTCAACATGAGGGCCTCCAGCTGCCCCCAGTGTAGGGAAAGCTTCGTCCCCAGGCCCACCCTCCACAGGAACATCATGCTCTGCGACATCGTAGATGAATTTCTCAAGTCGGGGGCTGAGGCTGGTGCAACCCAGGCTCCGGTGGGACCCGGGGATGTGCCCTGTGATTTCTGCCGCGATGCCCAGCTGCGGGCTGCTAAGTCGTGCCTGATGTGCCTGGCATCGTACTGCGAGGATCACCTGAAGCCGCACCGGGATAACCCAGCCTTCCAGGATCACCCCCTGACCGAGCCGGCTCGCGACATTAAGGAGCGAAAGTGCAAGACCCACAGGAAACACCTGGAGCTCTTCTGTAGGAATGACCAGACTTTTATTTGCTGTGTCTGTATGACCAATGAGCACCGCACACACCAGGTGGTTACGCTGGAGGAAGAGGTGCAGAGCAGAAAGGTAACCTCCCACAAATACTTAATGTTGGCACAAGCAGAATTCTCCCCTTTTGGGGGTCACATTCAGGCATTGTGGGCTAGGATCTTAAAAAGCCAGATCTAATCAAAGAATCCCCACAGTGTGGACGCAGGCCTTTTGGCCCATCTAGTCCACACCGACCCTCCGAAGATCATCCCAGCCAGTCCCACCACACTCCTACCCTAACCCTGTAACCCTGCATTGCCCATGGCTAACCCACCTAGCCTGCACATCCCTGGACACTATGGGACAATTTAGCACGGCCAATCCACCCTAACCTGCACAACCCAGGGCACTATGGGACAATTTAGCATAACCAATCCACCCTAACCTGCACATCGCTGGACACTATAGGACAATTTAGCACGGCCAATCCACCCTAACCTGCACATCGCTGGACACTATGGGACAATTTAGCACGGCCAATCCACCCTAACCTGCACATCCCTGGATGCTATGGGACAATTTAGCACGGCCAATCCACCCTAACCCGCACATCCCTGGACACTATGGGACAATTTAGCACGGCCAATCCACCCTAACCCGCACATCGCTGGACACTATGGGACAATTTAGCACGGCCAATCCACCTTAACCCGCACGTCCCTGGACACTATGGGACAATTTAGCACGGCCAATCCACCCTAACCTGCACATCGCTGGACACTATGGGACAATTTAGCACGGTCAATCCACCCTAACCTGCACATCCCTGGACACTATGGGACAATTTAGCACGGCCAATCCACACTAACCTGCACATCTTTGGAGTTTGGGATTATGATTGCGGTACAAACCTACATTGGAAGTTGCTTTGTTAAATGACAGTGACTACACCTCCTGTCACTAATAAAATTTGGAAACTTTCATAATAATAGAAAGATGGTGCAGGGTTATGGGGTGAAGTCAGGGAGCATCACTCGGTGAACTGCCTCTTCAGAGAGCTGGCATAGAGATAGCAGACTGATTGGTCTTCATTCTGCATGGTAACTATACTGTGACTTCTGTGCTTTATAAGAATGCAATTACGTACATACCTTTAACCCGTTTTAAAACAATGCTGGCACGGTGGCTCAGCGGTTAGCACTGCTGCCTCATAGCACCAGGGACCTGGGTTCAATTCCACCCTTGGGCACCTGTCTGTGTGGAGTTTGCACATTCTCCCCCTGTCTGTGTGGGTTTGCTCCGGTTTCCTCCCATGGTCTGAAGATGTGTGCATTAGGGTGGATTGGCTGTGGGAAATTGCCTGTAGTGTTCAGTGGTGTGTGGGTGGGATGCTTTGAGGGTTGCTGTGGGCTTGTTGGGCCAAAGGGCCTGTTTCCACACTGTAGGGATTCTATGAAATCTAAATTTTTTTTTAAAAAAGTGAAGCAAACACGCAACAAATCTGGCAACATCTGTAGAGAGCGAAACGGAGCTATAATATTTCAGGGCTTTCTGATAGAAGGTTTGATGAATTGGGGCATGTTACTAAAGTATTATCTGAAGAAACAGGGCTTGCTTGCTTGCTTGCATGCTCCCTCCTAGTGCTAAGTGAAATGGTGAGGTTTATTTGTGCGATGTGCTGGCTCTCACACCATCTGCTGACTCTGTTCCCAGAAAGAGCTTTATCTCGTGGACCTTGAGACAGAGAAGCAGCTACAGGTCACACTGCTGGAGATTGGGACCCTACAGGAAAGCATGGACTCGATCACGGTCAGTTAATTACTCAATGCTCAGGAATCACACCACACCATGTTATAGTCCAACAGGTCTATTTGAAAACAAACTGTTGGAGCCTCACTCCTTCTTCAGGTGTTAGTGAGAGAGGTAGTATCAGACACAGAATTTATAAGTAAATTTATAAGTAAATGCTGGTGCCCCCTCTGACTTCACCTGCGGGAAGTGCACCCAACTCCAGCTCCTCATAGACCGCCTTAGGGAACTGGAGCTGGAGCTGGATGAACTCCGGATCATTCGGGAGGCTGAGGGGGGGTGAGAGAGAGGAGTTACAGGGAGGTTGTCACACCCAAGTTACAGGATAAAGGTAGCTGGGTGACTGTCAGGAAGGGGAAAGGGAATAGGCAGACAGTGCAGGAATCCCCTGTGGCTGTTCCCCTCAATAATAAGTATACCGTTTTGGATACTGTTGGGGGGGACGACTTACCAGGGGAAGGCCATAGCGGACAGGCCTGTGGCACTGAGCCTGACCCTGTGGCACAGAAGGGAAGGGGGGAGAATAGGAGAGCAATTGTAGTGGGGGATTCAATAGTAAGAGGCACAGGCAGGCGGTTCTGTGGACACGAACGAGATGAACGGATGGTATGTTGCCTCCCGGGTGCCAGGGTCTGTGATGCCTCGGATCGTGTCTTCAAGATCCTTAAGCGGGAGGGTGAGCAACCAGCAGTTATGGTACACATCGGTACCAATGACATAGGTAGAAAAAGGACTGAGAATGTGAAAAATGAGTACAGGGTGTTAGGTTGGAAGCTGAAGTCCAGGACAAACAGGGTAGTTATCTCTGGATTACTACCAGTGCCACGTGATAACGAGATAAGAAATAGGGAGAGAGTGCAGCTAAACACGTGGCTACAGGGCTGGCGTAGGAGGGAGGGCTTCCATTATGTGGATAATTGGAGCACATTCTGGGGAAGGTGGAACCTGTACAGTAAGGACGGGTTGCACCTGAACCGGAAGGGCACAAATATCCCGGGAGGGAGGTTTGCTCGAGCTGTACGGGATGGTTTAAACTAGATAGGCAGGGGGTGGGGAACCGGATTTGTAATTCAGACGATGAGGTATTCAGCCTTCCAACAGACACAACAGGGAGTGAGGTTGTTAATAAAGAAATGTGGTTGATAGAGCATAATTGTGGACACAGGGATGGTTTGAAGTGTGTATACTTCAATACTAGAAGTATCAGAAATAAGGCGGATGAACTTAGAGCATGGGTCAGTACTTGGAACTACGAGGTTTTGGCCATTACAGAAACTTGGGTAACTCAGGGACAGAAATGGTTGTTGGTAGTCCCGGGATTTAGATGCTTTAAAAGAAATAGGGAGGGTGGAAAAAGAGGTGGGGGAGTGGCATTGCTAGTCAGGGCTAGTATAGCAGCTACTGAAAGGCAGTTTGAGAATGATATGTTTACAGAGTCAGTTTGGGTTGAGGCCAGGAACAAGAAAGGAGCAGTCACTTTGTTGGGGTTTTTTTACAGACCACCTAACAGTTGCAGAGAAGTGGAGGAGCCGATTGGGAGGCAGATACTGTAAAGGTGCAGAAGTCACAGGGTTGTAGTCATTGGTGACTTCAACTTTCCAAATATTGATTGGAAACTTTTTAGTTGTAATAGTTTAGATGGAGCGGATTTTGTCCAGTGCGTTCAGGAAGGATTCCTGACACAGTATGTAGATAGACCAACACGACGAGAGACCACTTTGGACTTGGTGCTTGGCAATGAACCAGGCCAAGTGTTAGAACTGTTGGTAGGAGAGCATTTTGATGGTAGCGATCATAACTCTGTTACTTTTACAATAGTCATGGAAAAGGATAGGTATATACAACAGGGTAAGGTTTATAATTGGGGGAAGGGTAATTATAATTCTGTTAGGCAAGAACTGGGTAACATAAAATGGGAACAGATGCTGTCAGGGAAGAGCACTAAAGAAATGTGGAGATTGTTTAAGGAATGCATACTGCATGCGCTCGAAATGTTTGTCCCTAGCAGGCAGGGAAGATGCAGTCGAGTGAGGGAGCCATGGTTCTCGAGAGAGGTCGAACAGGAAGAAGGATGCTTATAAAAGGTTTAGGAAACAAGGATCGGAAAAGGCTCTAGAGGGATACAAGTTAGCCAGGAAGGAGCTGAAGAAAGGGCTTAGGAGAGCTAGAAGAGGGCATGAGAAAACCTTGGCAGATAGGATCAAGGAAAACTCCAAGGCTTTTTACACGTACGTGAGGAATAAGAGAATGACCAGAGTAAGGGTAGGGCCGATCAAGGATTGTAAAGGGAATTTGTGCACGGAGCCTAAAGAGATAGGAGAGGTTCTTAGGAATACTTTTCTTCGGTATTCACAACTGAGAGGGACCTAGTTGGAGGGGAGGACAGTGTGAAACAGGCTGGTAGGCTAGAGGAGGTCAGTGTTAGTAAGGAAGATGTACTAAGAATTTTGAGGAACTTGAAGATAGATAAGCCCCCCAGGCCTGATGGGATTTATCCAAGGATTCTATGGGAAGCGAGGGAAGAGATTGCAGGGCCTTTGGCGATGATCTTTTCGTCCTCACTGTCCACGGGTATAGTGCCGGAAGACTGGAGAGTGGCAAACATCATTCCCTTGTTCAATAAAGGGAATAGGGATAACCCCTGAAATTACAGGCCAGTTAGTCTTACTTCAGTGGTGGGCAAATTATTGGAAAGGGCTCTGAGAGATAGGATTTATGATCACTTGGATAGGCATAGTTTGATTCATGATAGTCAGCATGGATTTGTGAGGGGTAGATCATGCCTCACAAACCTTATTGAATTCTTTGAAGAGGTGACCAAACACGTGGATGAAGGTGGAGCAGTGGATGTGGTATACATGGATTTAAGTAAGGCGTTTGATAAGGTTCCCCTTGGTAGGCTCATGCAGAAAGTAAGGAGGCATGGGATAGGGGGAAACGTGGCAGATTGTATTCAGAATTGGCTGACCCTTAGAAGACAAAGGGTGGTAGTGGACAGAAAATATTCAACATGGTGCTCAGTTACGAGTGGTGTACTACAAGGATCTGTTCAGGGTCCTCTTCTATTTGTGATTTTTGTAAATGATTTGGATGTAGGAGTGGAAGGGTGGATTAGTAAGTTTGCAGACGATACGAAGGAGGGTCGAGTTGTGGATCGTGGGGAGGGCTGTTCTAGGTTACAAAGTGACATTGATAGGATGCAGAGCTGGGCTGAGAAGTGGCAGATGGAGTTTAACCATGAAAAGTGTGAGGTGATTCATTCTGGAAGGACAAACTTGAAAGCAGAATACAGGGTTAATGGAAAGATTCTTGGCAGTGTGGAGGAGCAGAGGGATCTTGGCGTTCATGTTCACTGTTCCCTGAAAGTTGCCACCCAGGTGGATAGAGTTGTTGAGAAGGCGTATGGTGTGTTAGCTTTCATTAATAGAGGGATTGAGTTCAAGAGCCGTGAAGTTATGCTGCAGCTATACAAAAGCCTGGTTCGGCCACATCTGGAGTATTGTGTTCAGTTCTGGTCGCCTCATTACAGGAAAGATGTGGAAGCGTTGGAAAAGGTGCAGAGGAGATTTACCAGGATGTTGCCTGGAATGGAAGGAAGGTCTTATGATGAAAGGTTGAGAGAGCTAGGGCTTTTTTCTTTAGAACGATGAAGGATGAGAAGTGACTTGATAGAGATGTACAAAATGATCAGAGGTATAGATAGAGTGGACAGCCAGAGACTTTTTTCTAGGGTGGAGGTAGCTATTACTAGGGGGCATAGTTTTAAATTGAGTGGAGGTAGTTACAAGGGAGATGTCAGAGGTAGGTTCTTTACTCAGAGAGTGGTCGGGCCGTGGAATGCATTGCCGGAGAGGATAGTGGAGTCGGCCTCATTAGGGGCATTTAAACGGCTATTAGATAGGCATATGGATGATAGTATATGGTAAGGGTGGAGGTTAGATAGACCTTAGGATTAGGGTAAAAGTTTGGCACAACATCGTGGGCCAAAGGGCCTGCCCTGTGCTGTACTGTTCTATGTTCTTTGTTCTATGTTCTAAAAGATCAAAGGTTCACACCGTTGATGAGGATGGACTAAACAAGCCTAAGATGCTGTTAAATCTTTAATCAGTATATGTAAGTATATGTAAATAAGTATATGTAAATCCCCGAATTCCCTGAGAGAACTAAAGGTTTTATCAGTGTAAAGAAGAGGTACATTTTAGGTCAGACAATGCATGATAGGTGTGAGGCCTTGTTTATAATCTGTTTGCGTTTTAGTTTGGAGTCAGACTGGTTTTATTTCCAAAGTAGGAATTTATAAAATGCCATATTGACTGACTGTCTATAAATTGTGGAGCTTTTTGAACAAAATAAAATGTATCTGCAAATACAAATTCACCCCATAGATTCATATCTGTGTGTGTGTGTGTGTGTGTGTGTGTGTGTGTGTGTGTGTGCGCGCGCGCGTGTGTGTGTGTGTCTGCGCGCGCGTGTGCGTGTGGGTGTATGTATGCGTGAGTGTGTAAGTGTGTGTGCGCATGTCCGTGTTTGTGTGCATGTCCGTGTGCATGAGTGTGTGTGAGGGGGGAGAGAGAGTGTGTGCATGTATGTGTGTGTGTGCGTGTATGTGTGTGTGTGTGTGTGTCTGTCCTGTAGTGTGACATGAACCCAAGATCCCGGTTGAGGCCGTCCTCATGGGGACCGAACATGGCTATCAGCCTCTGCTCAGTTACTCTGTGTTGTTGTGTATCCCGAAGTCTGCCTTGGAGAACGTTTACCTGAAGATCTGAGGCCATATGTCCTTGACACTGAAGTGCTTCCCGTCTGGGAGGGAACATCCCTGTCTGGCAATTGTTGCACAGTGTCTATTTATCCGTTGCTGTAACATCTGTGTGGTCTTGCAATATACCATGCCCCGGGGCATCCTTGTCTGCAGTGAATGAGAGAGACAACGCTGGCCGGGTCACATGAGTATTTGCCGCACACCGGTGGGTGGTGTTCTCATGTGTGATGGTAGTGTC